TGAACTCGTTCTCACGCGCAGAGATGCGAATATTTATGTACGATTCGGTGAACCCCGTATCCAAAGCCTCCCAGGCTCACCAAATCACTTAGTAGTATATACCATGAGAAGTATGTAAGGGGGCTCATTATGTTGCTTGCTCAGCAAGCGGAACCAGTCGTTAAGATGTGCTTGGCCTCCCGGGCATAAGTGCAGCCGTTGTTGATGTTAGTGTCAGAGAAGCTCGCACTCCACATCATTACGCCGCCAAAGGCAGCGTCGCTATCATACTGGCCCACGAGCGTGGCGAGGGCGCTGGGCTCAAGATAGTATTGGGCACCACTCGAGGTTCCTGTGGCGCCTAGAGGAGAGGCCGGCACGCCAATAAAGATTTTAGCATTGGCAGAGGGCGTTTTGGCAATGTTGGTCTTCCAGTCGTCGTAGTTGATCGGACCATTGACGGAGCAGCCGGGGTTGTTATAGAACTGGACCCAGAGATAGTCAAACTGAGCATTGGTAATAATCACATTCATATTAGGTTCTGGAATCGGGCACTGTGGGGCACCAGTAATGTACTTAGGCGGGATGCACGTTAGTGTCCTGTTCCAGAGACCGATAATTTTGGGTCCTTACATATGCTCGACTGCTATCAGACGCGAAGTTGGAGCGCAGTGTGGAGATCATGTACTGGTAATACTGGTTGCCGCTGTTGCTCTCAATATCGAAGTCCCAACCATTGACAAAGGTGCTCCCGAAGGGTCGCGGTACACTCCCGTTGGGTGCATTGCCGTAGGCGTCCCAAAGGTTCTGCCCTATAGTCCGAGCTTGCTCTTGGGATTGCAGAGAATATGCGCCGGCTGCACCGCCAAGAGATAAAATCACCTTGACGCCGTTCGACTTGCACGCGTCGATAGCCGCGGCTAGCGCGTCGCACTGTTGGCCTTCACCGGAAGGAGCGATGTAACATGACGGTCCAAAGATGCCCGATGCAATGTTGTTGCCGTTGCCGTACTCATACAAGAATGCGAGAATGATGATGTCGATACCAGAGTCAGCCGTGCAGTACGTGGACAGATTGGCCTCGAGGGTACCGCCGCCGTTCTGACCCCAGTAGACGACGTTCTGAGCACCAGACGCCTGGCGTGGGAGTATTGTAGGGGCTGCCAATGCAGCGCTAGCCATAAGGCTGAGGCTGGTGAGCATTACAGGGAAATGCATGTCGATAGCCGAGGATCAAAAACGTATATACAATGAATAAAAAATATGGGCGCTAGAAGGAACGGACCTGATACGTCAAGGACCTTGAGTATATGATAGAGGCGAGAGACTCGTTTTTGAAGATGAGATAGGAGAGCCAGAGGCGGGTATCTTAGATATACTTATACCCTTGATATGGCAGAGACAAGTTTGCTGCTTGCCTCGGAGTGGGCACAGAGGTTCCATTATGAGCCTTGGGTTTCTAGAATAGGCAATGAGTATCCTCCTGGTACCAGAGACAATTTTATGGTTGGGCCTACCAGGGAGATGTGACATGGACACACATGATGTGAAAATAAGAAGTTCACACGTAGCGCCGTGGCCGCTGAGCCACCTGGGGCGGGCAAGGGGGAAGCCACCAGTGCGAATGTTTAGAGCCGTAGAGTCGTGCCCATTGGAGATAGCCACCTAAATATGCCGCAGGTAACCCCGGATGAGGTTATCGAGGGGAAGTGCACGACAGATGCGACGTTCCTGGACTAGGCCTCCGGCTACAGCGGGGTGGTCTGCAAACACTGTCTCACAGAGTGCCTTTGTCCTTGGCACGTATCGACGGGATCACGACCGATCGTCCGACTCGATGAGGACTGCCGTAGATCTCCCGCCTCGAAGGGCTTTTGTGGATGGCAGGAGGTGTCAAAAAAGTGGGTTCCGTCGAGAAGGTGGCTTGTCGACACCGAGACACACACTGTCCACCATGTTGGCAGCATCACTCGTATCAACCGGAGGGACGAACACTGTTCGGCGGATCAAGAGAAAAAGAAGATAGGCGAACACCATCCTCCTGTGTTTCGATCCATGGGCTGAATGCAACATCGGGCCTGATATGGGTAAAGCAACCCGGCAATTAAGCTCATGAAACGATCGAAATGTGAAGCCACTGACCAAACAGATGGGCCTAGTGATACCCCCACCAACTGATCGACGCCTCTAGTCGCTCTGTGCCAACCTCATGCCTGCAAAGAAGCACTTGGTGGCGTGATCTCGACGTCTACCTGTCTGACCAGGTGAACGGGGTGGAGCCGCCCCGGCGCGGATTGATGGAAAGGGCAGGTACCGAAAAGTCGGGCCGTGTTATCGGGGGTACGCTTAAAATGGCATCATAGGCAACGTACCCATTGCTTGCTCACCCATCTCACCAGAAATTATCAACTTTTGTCGAGGAGCCTGAAAAGCCCCCCTTTCCTAGCAAAGGGTCCCAAATCTGTTCCCACTGTACACTCATTCCCAGACAGATATCCCAGTCTGCCTGTCTTCATGCATAGGAACTTTTCTGCGTCTTACTTCAGGTTGTTTAGCAGCATCCTCTGCGTTTTGCCTAGGGCTACTTACTCTATAAATGACCGTTTCCCTCCTGCCTTCACATATTTTCTCCTCCATATTCTCCTCCATATTCTCCTCCATTTTCCCACACATCTTCTCACACATCTTTCACCTATCTTCTCACATACCCTCCCTCCTATCTTTCCCTCTTTTCTCTCTCTCTAACCCCTCTCTGATCCCTCTCCCGCTTCTCTAGCAAGACCTTCTTTTCTCGTTTCTATTCAAGATATCTGCATCACTGTATATACAACTCAGAAGTGTAGCGATAGTAGCGATTCACATGCTTTACGGGTCAGCTGATAGTCACCTGACGGTCCGTACTGGCCGCTAGCCTGGCACGTGGTGCTTTTCAGGTTATATAAGCCTGCTACTCTTCCTGTATTCTAAACCTTCTCTCCTTAGTTTAGAATCCTCACATAGACAATAAGAAGAGCTCTCGCGTCGCCACAAAGGGCAGGCTATAGAGCCTGAGGTAGGGCCTATTATTAGGGAAACAGCTATAAAAGCTGCTAGTGAGGCACAGAGAGCTATACTTTGTTACGAGATTCAGGAGTCTTAGAATTAGAATATTATTTATTATTATTTATTTATAGTAACCTTTATAGTAACCTACTTTCAGGTAATAGTAGTAGCTATTATTTTAAGGTCATGAATTATTGTTATTATTACTCTTATTTACAATACTAACTATTGAAGCCATTATCCTGAAACATTTGCCGTTATAACTCCCTTTCCTCACGTTGCGACTCCCTCTCCTCTCGTCATACCTGCTCTTGAGACTCACTCTCTTCTCGTTGTGCCTGTAGCTGTATCTCTTGAAGCCTTTCCTGGCTCTCAGCTTGAATACGTGCAATCTAGAGCTGTACGTCTGCCTATATTTTTACCTTTTTCTCCTCCCTCTCTGCCCAATCCCTCCTATTCTCCTCAATTAGGCTTCTAAGATCATTATACCCAGGCTTACGCTTTCGAGACTTTAATCCTTTCTGCCGACTTTGAGCGCCTCAACCTGAATTTGAAGGGAAGGGAGTCCCTAATAGACTATTGTCGTCACGAAAAGGGTCATCATCCTCCGCCTCCCTCCCTCTCCTACCCCCTCCTCCTCCCGTTGTATATTCTGCCCGTAGTCACTCTCTGACCAAGTCTCGATATCTGAACCAGGGGACTGTTGTTATAACTGTGATTGTAGAGGCTGCGACTATAGGGTATCGAATGCAACAATAGGAATGGTATTTGGTCGAGAGCTCCAGATCTCATCAAGCCTCCAAAAAAAGCGACATTTCTTATTTAGAAGCTCTAGTATTAAGGGTTAGTATAATAATTACTATAAATATATAAAGATCATACCATTAACATGATACTTGGCCTTAATCTTCTTAAGATCAATATCGTCTACTGTAGCAAAGTCTCCAAGACGGAGAGATCACGTAGGGAAAGGATCTTTGACCGTCTTTGCTGCTCTGGCCGATGCTGTTGATTCTATAGCTACCGGTGCTAGCTAGAGAAGAAGAAGAACTGTGTGTGTGTATGAAAAGCTATCCTGGTAGGCTAAACCCCGGAATGGTGGCCTGGGGCAGCCACCAGTTCCAGACAAAGACTGACTCTTTAACCTTCGTAGCCCATCGATTTGTATTTGAACAGCGTTCCTGATATAGGACGTATCGAGGCCAATGGTAGCTAGCTGAGCGAAGGAACCTTTATGCGCTCGCCTATTGGCTGCGCACACATATAAATAGCTTCCTTTGAGTCCTACTTCTAGAATAACAATCAATCAATACAATCACAATAATCAGAACGTATTACTGCAGTTGATACGAACTGACAAATGATATTTGATTGCCTGTCCAACCGTGTGGTACGGACAATTTGTTGATCCACGAAGGAGCTCTGGGTTATCCTCCATCCATGAAATAAGCTTTTCTAGCGATTTCCCACCCTCGAATTGGCATCTTCTAACTATTGAAAATAGTTTTGCAAGGGTAAAATATAATAGAGTAGAAGGGTTAGTTGATAAAATCAATGAAATAGCGTTGTTGTCTGATGAAATAAGGATTTTTGTCTGATCAGACACAGTCTGTCTATCAGAGCGCTCTGTCGCCGTCTAATAGATTTTTTCTATCTGAAAAATTTTAGCCAATCGGAACGAGGATTGGCGCCAAGCGTCTGACCAGATATCTGATCGGACGGTTGGCTATAACTGGTTGACCACCCCTAGATACTATGCTAGAGAGAATCATGAAAATTAGACTGGGGGAAGGAAACTTTTAGAACGATAACTTAATAAAACAGCACTAGAATTTCACTTGGATGGTGGCGTGCTGGCAGAATAAAAGGCGTGGGCCAGTCTCTCCAGACGTGGGTAGGCATCGGCTGACCACGCTCGGTTAAGCTACTGGCCAAGAATGCCACGACCAAAGTCCAAAAATTAAGGGACAAAAAAAATTCGACACCTGTGCGATTCGAACGCACGCTCTGTGATATATTAGTATGTATCTTGGTGAAGGCCTCGCCGAAACTTACCCCGAAGGAAATGCCTGAACTTCGCATATAACGATAGCAGGGCATCACGTTAACCACTCCGTCAAGGTGCCATTTGTTGGAATGAAATCGCTTATTTTTATATATAGATCTTCCTTGAGAAATCTCCCAAAGCCGATTTCGAGCCTTAGAATATTATGTAACCCTACGTATTTTTAGTATGATCTTATTTAAGTTCTACGCGCTTTACTTAAGAGACTTTATTTTTTATTTTTACCGTCATTGATAACTTGTTCCCATAGTATGTTTAACTTTATACTGTTATAAGGCCATGAACTGAGGCACTATATCACGCTTCGGCTAATTGAGTTTTTGCGAAACGCCGAGGTCAAGCACCATGACTTATCGGCGGAGGAATTAGTCCCATTTGAATTTACTAAAATGCAAAATAACCCGTCGTAGGTTGTATGCATTTCTCTATCTAGTCCACTTTCATATTCCCCGCCACCTGATCTAGCTATGTTACATTCTTTGCTTTATCAATCCAGCCATTTTATTGTTCACAGCACAGAAAGGATTCCGAAGACTCATGATGATGCTTAATTGATGGTACCCAATCTTCTCATCCTCTTAGTCATACTTGAAATATGCTTCTGGAATCTATTGCATGCCTCCTCATCAGTTAGGCTTGCATTGCGATCAGCCCATTCTCGCAAACCCCCTCCGCTAATACATGGAATAGACTTATCAGTCGGTACAAACCGAGTTTTAGAGCAAGTAAGACATTTCGGCTTGACTCCTATGTAAGTAGCTGGTTCACCTATCGTCCATTTAGGGTTTCTATCAACAGCCCACTTGCCTACTGATCTGTACGCCGAAGAAGAAGAGATTTCAGTTTTTTCTGTGCATGTTTGACACCAAATCTCTAGCTGAGAAGGAAGCTGACTGCAACAAGAAGAATCACGAATTAATCGAAGAAGCGAGTCTTGATGAACTAGTAGGCGGAGAGGCTTACGAGTCTTCTGTACCTCCATATGTCGAATAGCAGGTGAATTTTGGATAAGGCCTTCTGTTGAAGAACGACTTTCTGGAGCCGAGCATATATCAGGAATGGCTAGGGCGTCTGAAAGGCCTTGCTCCAGAAGAATGCCGGGAATCTGCTCAGAGCAGAATGGCTCGCTCCCTTTAGCATGAGATGTGCTAGTGCGCTCACATTCATACTCATCCCCTTCGGTTGGAACTCTCAGAGCCAGCGAGGGCAGGTAACTATCGAGTAAAATAGCCTGCACCGCTCTGTCGTAATTCTGATACGCTTCCCAAAATCTTTCAAGGCGGCGAGGATTAACGGAAGGGTTATCGGGACTTTTAGGAATGAAATTTCTACCAGGTATACCGGTCCTCTTTTCACAAGATAAACAGCGAGGTCTTCTTTCGACATAAAGTGGACGGGTATTGCCTATCGTCCACCGTGCAGATGTATCAATAAAGACAGAAGAGCCGCTTGAGGTTTCAGTCTGCTTTTTGCAAATAATGCACCATAATTCAACTGTTTTTGGACATTGAGGGCTTTCTGTAGAATCCCGTAGCAAAGGAGCGAAATTTTCATCAGGTTGACGTCGAGGACCTTCTACTTGCAAGGTAGGTTTAGTTGCTCGTGTAAAGTCGACATTCTGTATTGGCTCCAAGATTTGTCGGGCCCCTTTTCTATAACCTTTTGGGTTGCATTTTATAGAATTACACATCCGTTCCCTTGTAACGTAGGCACTTGGTCTAGCACAGGAAAATCGAGGGTCAGAATCTATAATACTGACGGAACCGCATGGACATTTAGCTTGGATCGGATCTGCCCCTAATCGGTTGAATAGAAAATCCTCAAATTTGCATTGCTTGATAGATGCAAGCTGCCTTTGCTGTATTAACATAAGTTGCTTAAGAACAGCTTGAAAAGTTAAGTCTGAGATAGGCTCGTCCTTATCCAGATGCTCTGGAAATTCCGTAAGTTTATTGTTTCTGACTTCATCAATAATATCACTGGCACAGCAGATAGCAGTCTGATGAAACAAGACTTCTTTCTGCCCCTTAAGCCATTCTGCTACAGCAGAGTGGAGTCGAGACGGGGTCTGCCATCCGCCAATATTATTCTTGACGTCTTGAAGAGCTTCGATTGCTCTAGGAAGAAGAGTGCGAGTTGTATCGTTACTATATGGTTTAGAAATAAAGAATGTATTCCAAGTACCATCATTAACACTCGGGGTCTTAACTGATATATCAGGTTCTAGGGTTTTCCAGGGTTTCAGATTAGTATCAAGAGGTTCTTGCAAAGAGGATAGAAGATCTCTAACTTCTATCTTGCTTATATGCTTCATCCTTATTGATTTTGAAACATAAGTCTGCCAGGCTTTCATTCGGTAGTAATTGGGATCGAATTTCAGAGATGGGTCTGCTAATTTTACAGCAACCTCTAAAGTAAGATCTTGCAAAATAGAATCATTACTCATTTGCCGCTGATAAAGCATTTTTTGTGGATGTGCAGCAAAAAGCAAGACTTTTCGAAACATATAGTTGCTGTCCTGGTTCTGGAAATTCTCTTCATGAAGTAGAAAAATGATAATGCCTTTAAATAGACCCCAGAGAGGAATAGCCGTCATCTTCATAGCTTGAAGCATGTGTCTCTGTACCGGCTTTCCGTAAACGATCTCGACTTTTGCAGCGGATGACGCTAGCAGGCGGTAAGTAAAGTCCACATGTGTTTTGAGTACATTCTGCGGATAAGTAGCAAATCCTTCTGATTTTCTGGACCGTCGATGTAAATGGTCGTATATTAACGTATCGCCTTCTCGATAGGCATTGCCCATAACCATGGCGATACAAGGGTTCGTTTTATCTGCGACTTCTGTACTAGGCGGTATTGAGGTTGTAAAGGACGGTTGGTGAAGATGATGAACTAGAAGAGCGTCTAGAGATCCTGATGGTTGAACCAGATGGCTTCCTAGCTCTGGCTCGGAACCTGAAGCTATCCAAGCAAGTCGCTCTTCTGTCGCAAATTCTTTGAAGTTGCTAGAAAGATCAAGAATAGGACGAGAAGAAAGCTCTGTGGGATAGATGAACTAGTCAGCACAATTGCTTTTGTAACGAGAACCAACATTTTAGATAGACTCACTGCGTAAGTCTCGGGAACCGAGCTCAGAGATATAGGGCAACAGATCTATAATTTTTTGAGTCCAACCATCTTCCTTTAAAAAGTGCTGTCGAGGATGTGGAAGCACAAGATCTCCGAATAATCGAATACTATGCAATGGCTCCAAAGACCTAGGCACTATAGATGGCAGCGTTTGTATCAATTTGCAACGTTTGTTCGGGTGTTCGACGGCTCCATCATCTTCTCCTTCAGGCCTGAAAATGGCCATGATCCTCAGAGCAAGTAATGAAAATGTATCTCAAAATGAGTGTTGACTGGATTTTGGTCGAGGAAGCTTAACGTTTGATTATCTATTGTGGTGAGATATTTGTCACATAACGCGTGTGTCTAGCACATGATGTCAAAAGGGCTTCGAATTAGGTGTTCTGTACTAAGTGTGTCGTGAGACTGGGATGGAAGAAGGGGAAAACAAAGGGTTTGGTTTGGTTTGGTTGGTTGAATCATGTTGGTAAAGGGAGCAATTCGGGACCGGCAATTAGTTTGTACGATATCGCCTGACCCACGAAGCTAGGTTATCTGCAGTGCGATCCTGTAAATAAAACAACATGCATAAATTGACGAACCAACCAACCGACACTGATCAGTTTCTAGACTCAGATCAGCAAGTTAACTGAAGAGGATAACTGGAGCCGCCCCGGCGCGGATTGATGGAAAGGGCAGGTACCGATAGTCGGACTGTGTTATCGGGGGTACGCTTAAAATGGCATCATAGGCAAAAAGACGTTGACTATGATGCTAAGAAGAGGTGCAAGCAGAGGGCAAGATGATATATGTAGCAATATGGCTCCCAAATATGTGCAAGGCTGCGCTTCTCCAGGAGGAAGTTGGAGTTTATACCAAAAGGTTCATACCACGAAGTGAGGAGAGTAGCTGCTCCGGGACAATTCTGTGGCAGCAGGGACCTCCTGGTGCTAGTCGACAACGCAAAAGGGGAGGAGAAGAAATGGATGAACGTCCCGCTTCCATCACCACCGGGTTCAAATATACTTAAAGATAGAGTTGCGAATGAGATGTTTGGAAGAAAAGGAGGAGCGAAGGGCGATAGGCGAGGATATATAAGGACATATGTCCAGAACCCCTAGCCAATAGAAGGTATTTCTTTTGTGATGAGTTGCCGGAACCCGTCCTAAAGAGTGAAAACGAGAAGCGGTTTTCTGGATGACCTTGTCAGAGATTGCTCATGTGCTTGGTACCCAACTCAGTGGATTGAAGTCTAATCCTGAAAGCATGTATAATATCTAGCCAGAGGGTGATATCTCTTAGTCAATTAAGCACCTGAAGCACCCTTTACAGTTGTATTTACGTGCCTTTCACGGTTCGACCTTCTGTGTGGGATATCTATAGAGATACCACTGATCCTTAGTAATTAGCAGCCATATTGAGTTTAGCGCTGTATTGCTCGTAAACCTTGACCGACCTGCTGCTCCTTACATTCTTATTTCAGCGTTTCTGGTCAGCCAGGTTCTAGAGGCGATGTTAAAGCAGCGTGGGGTTTGGCAACTCAGCTGTGGGAAACAGCCACAAAACCTGCTGAAAACAGTAGTCAATTCGCCGTTTATTAGTTTAAAAGAGGTTGTGGCAAACTTCTAGATAGTCAATGCATTCCTTTGACCGAGACTGGTATGCGTCTGCCTCTGCACCCTCCCGCCTGTGATTGCAAAATTTGCGGGCCAGAACGCGCATCATCACTAGTAGGGAGGATTAAGAGAGAGGAGGCTAGAGTCCATTCCTATCCTAGATGATAGCACTTATGATAGTGTGGAAGTGAAGATGCAGACTCCGGGTTTTTGACTGGCTGTAGTTTCAATGAGTTATATAATTTAGTTTAAATAACAGTAACTATTCTACTATGTAGTGTGTATGTAAGTATACAAACTTGGCGATCACCTGATCTCCATTCAGGTGCTGGAACTC